GCAATGGTACAGCAGATTTTAGGCTGGTTACATTTTGCTGGCAGCTGGATTTTTTCATGTCCTAAAAAAAAAAATGGTACATAGGACTTATCCAAGTAGTGGTTATATATGTAATTTAAGCCTCAATATTCTGTCCAAATATAGATCCTATGTTTGTATATGTGTATTTGTCCAGGTTTGATTAGTTTACGCCAACTGTCCTTAATGCTGTCACTCGCAGAAATGACAATGATAGAACATGGCTGACTGATCAGAGGGAATGGAAAAGGGTTCAAGATGACCACAAGACTCTGAACATGAGAGACCAAGTGAATGTTCTCACCAACAAAGAGGGAAATCAAAAGGACTGGGTTTAGGGGAAAAAATAATCTCAGTTTGGGACCTGTTGAATTTGAGGAAATCCAGGTAGAGCTGCACTGTAGGCAGAGTTCTGAACTGGAGATAGAGCTTTTCAGAGCTCATAGAAGGTGGTATCTGAAACCACACAAGTGAATCAATTTGACAAGGGAGAGATAAGTAAAAAAGAAGTGGGACAAGGACAGACCCTTGGGAGAACATACACTTTAATGAAATAGGGAAGATGGGGAGAAGCAGGCAATTATAGAAGGAAAGACCAGAGAAATAGGAAGGAAATTTGAGTGTGGTTCCTCATAAGTAAACAATGTCAAATGCTACAGAGAGGTCAAGCAGAAGAACTGGAAATGGACCACTGGTTTTGATGATTAGGTCACTGGTGACCTTAGGGAATTCTAGAGATCAGTTTCGATAGAATGTTCGAGGCCAAAGCCTAACTACAAGGGGTTGAGAAGAGAGTAGATGATGAGGAAGTCTCCAAAAAGTCTACTACTTTTTCAAGAAGTTTAGCAGTGCGGTGGTAGATTTCCATTACAGTAAGGAGGTGTAAAAGATGTTAGTTAAAAAAGGATATGGTGAAGGCATGGGGGGGGGGGGGCGTTAACAACAGAGCAAGGGTGCAAATAATGGGTTGGGGAACTAAATTGTTGTGGGATTAATTTTAGATGAGTGGTCACTACTCTGTTCTACTTCTGAACCATACTGATTCAATGCATACTTCCTAGTGGCCTGGTTTGGGCTGGATTTGGCATGAAACAGTTGGATGTCAAGGCTTGCTGAATTCAGCAAGGAGCAACTAGTGTGGGAATTCCTTCCCAGAATTTCTTGGAAATTTTCTGTTTTTCTGAATCTCAATTTTTGAGAAAAATAAGTTAAGAAATTAGGGGAAAGTATCGTGATCCTCCTGTGAGAATTAAGGGCTTATCAACTTGGAGACGTTACTGGTTCAAAGGAATACAAGTCAAAAGTATTAGCAGGAAAGGCTGACGTGCAGAGTCAAAGTCTAAGGTCAACATTTCCAGGAACCAGGACAAGAACACACAGAAGAGAAGCAGGCATGGTCTACCAGGGGTAGGGAACCTGTGGCCTTGAGGCCACATGTAACCACCCTCCAGGTCCTCGGGTGCAGCCTTTTGACCGGGTCCAAGTTTTACAGAACAAATGCTTTTATTAAGGGCATTTGTTCTGTGAAGTTTGGATTCAGTCAAAGGGCTGCCCTTGAGGACCTAGAGGGCCACATGTGGCCTCGAGGCCATAGGTTCCCCACCTCTGGATCAGTCTTGCTTGTAACTGTTGTCGTGTTATTGGGGTGTGTTCATAACTCTGTCTGTTAAGTGTCATTCTTCCAAATAAAATATATATTGATCATTTTATACATATAATATACTTACTTTATACAAACCCTATGAGTGGTATTATAAGAAATAACAACTTTCGGAAGCAAAATAAGTCCTTTAATTGGTGATGATTCTTTGCAGTGCTGTTAACCTTGCTAGATTTGGATGTTATGTTATTCAAATGCTATACCCAATAGTGTTTTCTGGTGTTTTCCAGTGTCAGAAAATTCATTTGCTGTTTATATCAAGTAAAAAGTCTGAAGAATCTTGGAAGTATTTTTAAGAAAGATAAAAGAAATCAGCTAGTTCACTGCCAGATATGTTTTAAATCATTGGCACAATATATTGATTCTTAATAATAAATCATGCATTTATTAAATTTTTAATAGAAAACCCTTGAAACTTTTATTAAAATTATTACATAAAAATCATTTGCTGTTTATTATCATGGTCACTCATTATTATTTAAAAACATTGTAAATAAAGTATTATGAAAAATACAGAATGACTTGTGATTTCAGCAATTTCCAAGAATTCTGATTTCTCATTCCCAAACTGGAAACATTACGGAGCAACAAACTGACTTCTGCTCCAAAATGGCTCACCCTCACATTCCGCCTTTGAGATCCCTTCCAACTCATTCTTTGAGATCAGGGATACAAATGTTCCCTGGTTTAAGTAAGCCTATTTACACATTAGCATCAGGAACTTTGAAGCATTTGCTATGGAGTGAGCAGGAATTAGGGAGATGGCAAAGAGAAAGAGCATATACTCTGGGATATTTGTTGTTGTTATTTGGTCACGTCCAACACTTCCATGACCCCATTTGGGGTTTTCTTGGCAAAGACACTGGAGTGGTTTGCCATTCCCTTCTCCTGATCATTTTACAGATGAAGAACTGAAGCAAACGGGGTTAAGTGACTTGCCTAGGGTCATACAGCTAGTAAATGTCTGAGGCTAGATTTGAACTCAGGTCTTCCTGATTCCAGGCCACCTAGCTGCCCCAACCCCAGGATAAGCCAGACTGATACTCTTAATGTGTCACTCCTCAGACTGGCTTCTTCCAAATTCTTCCCTCTCCTTTATCGTAGGTACTTGAAGAGTCCCTTATTTCCAGACTTATGGAATCTATGCCCTGCAAATGATTATTATTCCTATGTTTTTATAAACTATTAAATTTGATTTGCAATGAAATACCTATAAATTCATAGCAACTACTGCCATGATCATTCTTGTTAAGAGTCCAGACTACCAAGAGGAGCTTTTATTAAAAGTAATTTATAAAAGGGTTTGTTATAGGTAGAGCGGAACTGGGAAACTGTCTACCACCAATCAGGAAAGGGTAGACAATCTGAACTCCAACCTGAAAAAAAAAATCACACAAGAGGAAACCACAGATCAAAGCTGGCCCAAGAGATTGTCATATTGGACAGAAGAAATAAGATCCCTATTGCAAAACCTAGGATCTCAAGTAGCAGAAGGAAGCAGGGAAGCCCACATACCAAATGTGATCTCTAATACCCCATTTATTCAGAAGTCAGGCATTCAGCATCAACGGGGTAAAATACAATCACAATTTGGGCCAATTCCTTATCCCTGGTCTAAACCATTATGGATAAGTCTGTCTCTGCCGTCAAAATGCTGGGGAACCTGCAGCCTCGAGGCCACATGTGGCCTTCTAGGTCCTCAGGTGCAGCCTTTTGACTGAGTCCAAGTTTTACAGAACAAATCCTTTTATTGAAGGGATTTGTTCTGTGAAGTTTGGAATCAAAGGGCCCCACTTGAGGACCTAGAGGGCCACATGTAGCCTCGAGGCCTCAGGCTCCCCACCCCTGGTTTAGACTTCTGTGACTGCATTGCTCCTAACCACATCCCAAGTATCACACCTCCCTCCCCCCAAAATGCCACCATAATAGAAAATAGGTTTGACAAAACTAATAACAAACAAGTTATCAGCACGTTTTCATTTTTCGTTCTTCAGGTCTGTATGACATTTAAAAATCTTTGGCCTTTTTCTTAGCAAAGTTTTAGCGCTTGGGATGCCCTCTGCAGTAGTGCACTAAATATAGAGGGAGATTTCTGTGTCTCCAATTGTCTTCTCAAATCCCTCACATCTGATTAACTTGGAAAAAAGAATGTTTATGTAACCGTTATCATATCACCTAAAATTTACTAATATTGTACAAATCACGTTTTCTAAGGTTTTAAAAAATTAGGTATAGGGGCAGCTAGGTGGTGCAGTGGATAGAGCTCCGGCCTTGGAGTCAGGAGGACCTGAGTTCAAATCCGGTCTCAGAAACGTAACACTTAACTAGCTGTGTGACCTTAGGCAAGTCATTTAACCCCATCGCCTAGCAAAATTAAAAAAAAAAAAGTTAGGTACAGCCACATTCCCCTCTATCAGATCTACTTTTCTGAGCACCATATAGAAATTGTAGTACTCAATTCTATTATTTTGCCCCCTTAAAAAAAACCACCACCATAAAAGAAACCTAGGACTGAAGTAGTACTAACCTCAAGAGAAAGATCCTGGACTTTTGACTTTCTTGAAAGAGTAGTATACTGTGTCACTGTCACATCCTTTGTGAGAAGACAGGTTGATGGATACACAGCTGCATTAACCACAGAGCACTTTGCCAGATGAATTTTCTAACCCAATGTATTTTAATTTTTGCACTTCAGAAAAGCAAGGTTTTGTTCAAATCAAAGGGGGCTTTGTTTGCTACAGCACTCACAATCTGGCGAAGCATCACAAGACCAGTTATGTGAACATCAGAAAACTGCTCAGGGAATCCATGTTGCATCTGCTGGTCCAGCTAGCTTTTCTGCTTCTTGCATATTAGAGTTTATTACTATGGGGCAGTAAATGCTCCCCGCCACCCCCCTTCCCCAAGACTATCACTGGGGCACTTTCACTGGAGTCCAGTGCTGCTTTTAGAGGTCACATAAGACTTGGGTTCGCCTTTTCACTAAATATCTTTGCCCAGAAATACAGATCAACTCTGTAATGAGCCTTCACTGTGACAAATAACAGGACGTGTTTGTGTAAAGTTCTACCATTTGCAAAAGGCTTCCCTCACAAGAATACTGTGAGATAAATTTTGCAGGTATTATCTTCATTTTACAGATGGGGAAATCAAAGCTCAGACAAGCTGACTGGTGAAATAGCTAGTAAGCTCCACAATCTAGGCTTTAGATTCTGAATCCATTCACACCACTACCCGCATCGTGAAGAATTATGAAAAGCAGAACCAGGTCAGGGGACGCCAGAACGATGCAAGACGACATCAAACAGTGCTTGGCACAAGCTAGGTGCTTAACAAAGGTTTGTTTATTGATTTATTGGCTTTGAACTTTTAAGGTACAGTAACAATAGCAGCTCACATTTCTACATGTTCATTTTCAAAGTGTGAGGTAGGTTGGACAAGTAATATTCCCATTTTAACAGTCAAGACGCCAAGGATTGAAAAGGCTACATTGATGGCAACCCGTAACAAGTGGTGGAACCTGGCCTCAAATCCACATCTTCTCATACCACATAATGCTGATTAATAGGCTTTTAATAAACTGTTACAAAGCTTGAAATGCCATTGCTGGAGACTGAAACATTCGAGGCAATGGAAAATGTTGCTACTTAGCAATGTCTGATATTCCACAGAAAATGATTATTTGAAGAGTGGCTATCGGGGCAGCCAGGTGATGGGCAAATGTTTTTCCCAGCAAAGGGGCTTGATAAGTCATTATTCTTATGTAAAGAATCATTAAGGCCGCCCTGAGCTCCCGCAGAATGGAAGGGGCGTTAAGAGCAGAAATCCAAGGAGGACCTAGCAGGACCCCAAGGTATTCCACAGTTTGCTCTTTGATCAATTTCTCCCCAACTCAGGGAATATACAATTCATGGGAATTAGGGTGGCCGAATCACCATTTGAGTCTTCGGTGGATATGACCCAGGGAAAGGACAGAGACAATTTTGCTCCCACAACCGCTTTCCACAGATGACTCTGGAAGCTCAAAGGAATTGCAGGAGATGCAGAAGCACTCAGTCACTCTATATTCAATCAATGAACAAATGAGGTACTTGGCTGAGAGCCATAAAGAGGTACTTGGAAGTTACAGGGTTTTCCAGAGGAGGATAGGGATATTCAAAATTTTTGTTAAAGTGACTAAAAGTAAGAGAAATCTAGTTGAAGCTTATTCAAGTACCTATTATATCAAGATGCATGTGGTTATCTTGCTTCAAATGGTGCCAGTGGATAGAGAACTGGCCTTAAAGCCTAGAAGCCCTGGGTTCTAATTTTACCTTTGGCACATACTGGCTTGTGTGATCCTGGGCAAGTCACTTGACATTAGTAGAAGGAGTTCCCTAGACCAATATGCTCACAGGCCCAGTCCCCACCCCACCCACCCCAACCCTCAAAATGGTCTCTTTTCTCGTAGTCTTTATGTATAGCTAGAAAAATAGGAGTAATTCAGTTTTCCTAAGTGGGCTAATCTCAGCTTCTAAGATCACTGTCTGTTTTGGAAAAAACCAGAATTATAGGTCTCAGCAACCAACCACACCATCCAGGAGCAAAAGCTTTAGCCTGGAAGGCCAGGGAAAACTTCAGTTTGTACAGCTCTGTACATAGATAGTATCCTATCCCAGAATTTAGGGAATTATGATATGCCAACATCATTTAATTCCAAAACAATATGTGCTGTACAAAAACACATTAACACAAGGTCTTAAATTTAACATAGACTTTCAAAATGTACAACTCACTAAACACACACACACACACACACACAATCAATAAAGCAGCTTTTACTCTGGCCTTGTTTCCCTGCATTGGCCGGAGTATTTAGCTGAGGGGCCATGAGCTGCACAGGGTGGCAGATGGGCCTGGCTGTGACTCTTGTGGCTGAGGGCTAGGTTTCATTAGGAAAACTTCCAAGCTAGCCGGGCGAGCCTTCTTTCTGTCCTGAAGCATCTCTGAGTAGCAGTCCAGAGCCTGTAAAACTGTCCGCTTCACCGAACAGCTCCGTTCACAGTCAGGATCATTCTCTGACAAAACCTCCAAGGCGTGAGAGACCTCGGCCAAGCAATCGGACAGAACCTGGGTCGTTAACATTCGCTCGGGGCCAGCTTCCTTGCTGTCATCCCCGATGTCGACTTTTTCCTCCGTGAAGCACTGGTCAGGTGACTCCTGCAAGTCTTCATTCGTTGTGTCTCCAGAGATATCCAACAGCTCCTGCACGGCATCGAGGGTGACCTCCTCAAAGCCTACTAGCTTTGCCACGTGGGCAACCTCTGTGGTAATGGCCAAAATTTCTGACTCTACCTCAAAGAAATCATCTGCTAAATCGGGCCACACCTTTCGCCAAACACCACTTAGGCAATGGCTATTCACTTCTGCCCAGGCTATTTTGATGTTGTCAATTGCCTTCATAATGTTGTAATCCTTCCAAATTTTCCCAATTGAAAGTTGCTTATCATTACTGTTAACCTCAAGCAGCTGACTAAAAGCACACCTGAGGTAGTATGCTTTAAACACCGCAAAGACACCCTGGTCCATGGGTTGCAGAAGTGAGGCTGTGTTTGGGGGAAGAAACAAGACCTCGATGGGAATACAGGTCTGAAGTGAGTCAAAATTGCTCAGGCTGCCCATGGAACCATCTAAGACCAATAACGCTTTGGGTTCATAACCATATTCTGTGCAATAACACTGAACCACAGGACAAAAATGATTAACAAGCCAGTCATTAAACAGGTCCACTGTCACCCAGGCCTTCCTGTTGGATTTCCAGATAACAGGCAGATTAAGTTTAGAAAAACCTCTCATATGTTTAGGAGTCTCGGAATGGTAGACAAGGAGAGGCTTCAACTTGATGTTTCCTGACGCATTGCTGCCTAGCAGAATGGTCAGACGGTCTTTAGCGGCCTTACAGCTATCAGCAACATCCTTCTGTTCTTGGGAGAGAGCTCTGGAAGGCAAGCGTTTCCAAAATAGCCCTGTCTCGCTCATATTAAAAACTAAATTTGGAGAATAGTTCCCTCTCTCAACAACAGCCTTCAGCACTGCAGGAAATTCTGCTGCAGCCTTAGTATCGGCACTGGAAGATTCCCCCATGATGCGAATGCTATTAATTTTATTTCGCTTCTTGAACTTCTCGAACCATCCACGGGAAGCCACAAATGTTTTACTGGTTTCCTCACCTGCCTGTGCTTTCAAATGATCAAAGAGACTCAGAGCCTTCTGCATTATTAACGCCTGGCTCAGAGGCATGTGATGCTGCATCATGTTGTCTACCCAAATACTTAACATGTTCTCCATTTTCTCCATGACACTACTTCGGATTCGGGTCACTTTGGCAGCAGTGAGATTACTGGAATTGTGCACGGAAGCCTTCACTCTATCGGCTTGGTTTAAAATGGATTTTAAGGTTGACTGTGCCAAGCCAAATGAACGGGCCACCTCACTCTTCATCTCTCCAGCTTCTACTCGCTTGATTATCTCTATTTTCTTTTCCAAAGAGATAGATTTGCGCTGGGCTTTTTTCTCGGAAGGGCCACTACCGTCAGATGGACGTTTGGAAGACATGATGAAGGTAATATCTAATTTCTCTGCCAAAACAAGAATTGATTTGATTCTGTTAAAGCCTGAGTAATGTTTAGGAATGCTAAGAGTAAACTAGAGGAGTATCTGGGCCATTCCCATCCAAGCACAGCATGGCACAATGGAAAGGGCACTTGATCTAGACTCAGTGGACCTAGATTCAAATTCTACTTTGCCACCTGTGTGACCTTGGACAAGTCACCGAATCTCTCTGCGCCTCGGTTTCCTCGTGGGCAAAATCAGACAGCTGGCCGAGATGCCTCTTAGGCCTCACCCCTTCTAACCGTAAATCTATGATGCTATGAATCACTTTCCTCAGTGGCTTGGCTTACAACTCACTGCTACAGCATTTCAGAGAAATACAGAACTTAAGACTTCAGAAATTACATCGTCTCCAACTGAGGAAACTGAAGCTTAGAGACCGTAAGTAACTTGCTCAGAATCACAGTTTGTTGGTGATAGTCACGAGGAGAGCCAGGGGATCTCCCATTCTGTTAGGACAATCTCAAAAATGGGATGGAGAACCAGTTCAATTCAGCAAACATTTACTGAGTAACTTCTATATGCACAGTATTGTGCAGGGTTCTGGAGACAGGAAATTTGAGTAAGACATAATCCTTGTCCTCTTGGAATCTTCAGCAGAGCAAGGGAATGGGACACATAAATATTTATAATGCAAATAATTTACTCGAAGTGCATTAGAGAAGCATGAAGACAAATGCTTTGTGAAGTTCAAGGGATATAAAGTTGTTCCTTACTGGGGAGATCAGAGAAGGCTTAATGGTGGAGGTGGCATGTGAGCTGGGCTTTAAAGAGTGGGTATGAAAATCAAGAGATTTTCAATCAAGAGGGAAGGAGGCTTGAGTGTGCTACTATCAAGTGTCTGGCAGGGGACAGTCAGATTGTGGAGGGCCTTGAATGTCAAGTCAAAGAGCTGGAACTTTGGTTAGACACAGAGAATCAGTGAAGATCTTTAGGCAGGGGACTGATACAGAAGAACTATTCTGACAGCAGTATGAAGGAAGGCTTGGAGAGGGAAGGGAATGGAAGGCTACTGCAAAAAAAATCAGGTGGCTGGACAAAGCAGAAATGTCTTATAGATAATTAACAGTGAAAGTCTGGAGCTCAGAAGAGAATCTCCCCAGGGCTAGAGATAAAGATATGAAAGTTTGTTGTTGTTTGTCCTTGGAAGACGACATCAGGAAGGAAACGTCAAGACTTGCAAGGGAATTGAATTTAAGTAAGGGAGAGCTGTGCAAAGCCTCACTCTCTCCTCCTGAACCATCTGGGTCCACAGATATAGATCAGGACAACTGGAGATGTCCCCAGACACAGCGGACACCTCAGCCTTTTTAGCTAAGGTCTTTCCCAGGTCTCAGTTTGTCTGAGGCAACACCTATTCAGTGATTAAGACTTAAGTAGAGATGAGACAAAAAATGGCCTCTCTTACCTAGTCCACAAAAAAAAAAAATCAGTCTGGGAAGGGAAGACTCTCAGGGTTTCTGACTGAAACAGAAAAAAATGCTATTTACATTCACTCAGAACCCAAACAATGACCAAGTAAGGCTTGGGCTGGGACCTATTGTTGGCCAATCAATGAGAGCCAGAGTGATTTGGGTTTATGGCATGGCCCTTAAAAGAAAATAGTCCATAAACCCCAAGACATCTTGCGAGGTTTCAGTGATCAAAATTTATATTCCTTTAGGCAGAACACCCACAGGTAAGGGTATGATTCCCTATGTAGCCAGAGGTAGAAGAGGGAGGGAGAAAGGAAGGGAGAGAAGGGAGAGAGGGGAAGAAGAGAAGAGAGGGAGGGAGGGAGGGAAGGAAGGAAGGAAGGAAGGAAAGGAGGGAGGGAGGGAGAAAGGGAGAAAGGAAGGGACTGAGGGAGAGAGGGAGCTGCGTTGCCCAACTGGAACTGGCCAGTTGGGTCTCCAGTGGGGCAGTTGGGTACTACTCACAGATCATTTGTTCTTTGTTCCCAAAGAGGATCATAACAACAGGAAGGAGATGTCATGACTTGCAAGTGAATTGGATTTAAGTGAGGCAGGTCTGTGCAAAGGCACCAGCTTCACTCTCTCCTCCTGAGCCATCTGGGATCAGTGGCGAGATATAGATCAGGATGACTGGAGATGGCCCTGGATGCAGCGGGAGACCTTGGCCTTTTTAAGATAAGGTATTTCCCAGGTCTCAGTTTGACTGAGGTGAATCCCATTCAGTGATTAAGTCTGGGTAAGAAAAGTGGCAAAGAATGGCCTCTTTTACCTAGTCCAAAACAGCAACCACCACCACCACCAATCTGGGAGGGGAAGACCCTGAGGGTCTTCTCCACGCACTCTGAGCAAACAGTGACCAAATGAGGTCTGCAACTACCACGCAAAGAAACAAAGCTGAAGGGATGGAATAAATGAGCCTGCCAAGGAGACAAGAGTTGAAAAGACAGGGCTAGGTGTGAAAGCCAGAGAAGCATGGGAAAGATGGGGGGAGGGCAGAGAGAGAGAGAGTGAAGGTCGAGACAGACAAGTGCATAGAAAGGTCAGAGAAACCTAAGTTTTCTGGGAAACCAAGGGATGGGACAATATCTGTTTAGAATAAAGGGGTGGTAGACCGCATCAAAGGCCTGAATAAAGGCCTCTGGATCTGGTCGTTATCCTGTCATTTACAGCCACAGTGGGCCTGCAAATCCTTAACGTTTCCTAGCCAAGAAACAAGTTGTTAGAGAACCCAGAGGCTATCAAGCCTAACCCACTCATTTTGTGAGCTCAAGAGGGTATGTGACTTTGCTAGGATCATACAGTTAGTAGGTAGCAGAGGCAATATATAATAATAATGATAGCATTCATAGTTCACCTACTATGTTCCGGGCACTGTGTTAAGTGCTTTACAACTATTATCTCATTTGATCCTCACCACAACACAGGGCGGGAGTTGGGGGAGGCTGTTCTTAATATCTCCATTTTGCAGTTGAGGAAACTGAGGCAGACCATGGTTCAGAGACATGCCCAGGGTCATACAGCTAGTGAGTATCTGAGGCCACATTTGAACTCAGGATCTCCCTGACCCTAGACCTAGCTTCTCTAGACTCTAGACCTCTGTGCCACCTAGCTGCCCAATGAAATTCAGGTTTATAAGATACACACCCAGGTCTTCTTGACTCCCAGGTCAGCATCCTATCCACTAAACCAAGTCAGTCCAAATTCTTTCCATCTTTCGCCTAATGCCTTAGAAGAGAATGAAATCCCTAGCAATGTACCACTGGCTAGTTGCCCAAACCCTAGAGAATATTTTAAAATATCCTTTAAGTAATAAAGGGGGAAGACAACATTCACAGGCCCACAAACAAATTTTAAGACACATACCCAACCCTAACCTTCAAAAGGGGAGAGTCATATTATGCTCTTTAGTCTCATACCAGGAAATAAATAAATAAATATTTTAATGCTTCTTCTCACTAATGGAATGCCCCTCCCTGCCAATCCAAATGTACAAGCTCCCCAACTAAGATAAATCCCCCTAACGGGTTCTCAGGATTCCCTGACGACCAGTCTCTAGGGCTTCCTTCTGTCTCTTCTGTTCAAGGCCTGCCTAGCTCCCTCTCCCTGACAAGAGTAATGAAGCCTTTCCCTAAGGGATCAGTAGCTACGAGAGTATACCTGCCTCCTTCTGAAGGCGTCTCCCAACGGACTTAGAACTTGGCTAAGACTGGAACTTTACCCCAAGCCTCTCCAAGCATAGGTTTCACAGTGGTATCTAACCCACTTGGTCCATGAACCTGCAGCCTATTTCTATGGTATGGAAGGATACAGTGGAAAGAGGCCTGGATTTGAAGTGAGAGGAGCTGGCTAGTTAGAGTTTTGGCTCTGCCACTGCTACCTGTGTGCAGCAAGTAACCTGAGAGAGGTTACTCAAGAGGAGAGGAATAAGCATTTATATAACACCTACTTTAGTAGTGACAGGCATTTGATCTTCACAACATCTCTGGGAGGGGGAGATGTTGTTATTAGCGCCATTTTACAGATGAGGAAACAGAAGCAGATGAGGGTTAAACAACTTGCCCAGGGTCAAACAACTAGTAAGCACCTGAGGCTGGATCTGAACTCAGAACTTCCCGACTCCAGGCCCAGTGCTCTATCCAGATGCCTATCTAACTTCTCTAGGCCTCAGTTTCTTATTCTGTAAAATGGAAGCACTTGATATTGGTGATCTCCCAGCTCTAGGGTCTAGGATTAGATCTAAACTAGCAAAGCTTCACAAAGTGAACGAAGTTGGTACCAGTTTTGCTGAGCCAGAGGTCATACGCTAACACCGCTCCATGTGACTTAATGAAGAATTTTGTACTGGTTTTCCTAAAAGTTTTATGATAAAGGAGTTTTATTTCCAGAAGAGTCTTAACAAATTAAGTTGACATTTCTATAACACTTTAAGCTTTGCCAAGTGTTGTGTTTTATATACACTGAAAGAAAGTGTGACGGTGGCTAGAGAGCTGGTATTAGAGCCTGGAAGATCAAAGTTCTACCTTTGGTACATACTGGTTGTGACTCTGGGCAAGTCACTTAACCATAGGGCTCTGGGCAACTCCCCATGACGGTAAGTTGCAGAGCAAGCGCCAACGTGCCCTGGAAGGAGGTCCTCACCACAAGCTCCCTGTACTGGTGAAAGCCCAGGTCCGGTCTCCATCCCTTTACCTATGTTAGCTCAGTTGATTCTCAAACAACCCCCAGGAGACAGGCACTAGTTTTAGTCCTGTTTTACAGATGAGGAAATGAGGCTCAGGGAGGTTCAGTGATTTGTTTGCCCAGGGTCAGATGGCTATGAAGTGTTTCTGCCTGCAAGCACAGCACCCTATCCACCATGCCCTGCTGCCTCTCCAAGCACAAACTTAGTGTAATATGGGAATAACATTGGCTAAAGGTAAAAAGACAGAGAGCTCAGCAAAGGCAGGCAGTATGGGGAACCAAGCAGTGGGACTGAGGGAACGGACAAGTGTAAAGAGAGGATAAGAGAAACCTCTCACTCATGCCAGCTCCCACAGCCTTTCTTCTGACACTTAGGAATCTTCCTATCCAATAGAGAAACAAACAAACCCTTCTTGCTGCCCTTGAGACCCATATTTTTGATTCCTTTTGCCTCACTCACCATCAAAGAGGTCTTCAATCTCAGTTTGGGGCAGATGTGGGACCAGTGGTAGATCCGTTTGTTCCAGCTGAGATATCAAGTCAGGTTTGGAAACTGGAACTCCTGCTCATGAGAAGAGAAGGTGGACAGTGGCTTAGCAAAGAGGATTCGGAAATCAGTCACTGTGTTCAGGTAATAGTGAAAGGAAAGGAAAATTCCATAGACTGGTACATTTGCAGAGAGAGTGTGAGACAGGATCTCTTTGAACCTCATGTTCCTTCAACATGTATATCCTGAGTAGAAAGGCAGGATGATGCGGCATGGGCTTGAGACAGACCAGGGGCGGGGAACCTGTGGCCTCAAGGCCACACGTGGCCCTCTAGGTCCACAAGTGCCGCCTTTTGACTGAGTCCAAACTTCACAGAACAAATCTCCTTAATAAAAGGATTTGTTCTGTAAAACTTGGACTCTGTCAAAAGGCTGTACCTAAGGAGTTAGAAGGCCACATGTGGCCTTGAGACCACAGGTTCCCCACCCCTGGGGTAGAAGATCTGAAGAAGGCACTGATCTAGAATGGAAGGACTAGTTTCTCCAACCTCCCCTTGGCAGGAAGATAGGAAATGCCTGAAGACTGGCTCATCTCTGTACCTGGACCCTGGGAAGCTATGGGCCTCTCAAAGATGGGAAGGGCACAGTTGAAGGGCAAGCTTCAGGAAGTTGCCTATTCCTATCTGTGCACAGGACAGACAGATCAACACTAGGGAGCAGAAATGCTCTGCGCTTGGGCTGAAAATTTCTGATCTCTGAACTTAAATCTGACTGAGTTGCTTCACAGATCTCAGAGACAGATGAAGAACCAGCTTCTTTATATTCAAAAGATGCCATTACGCCAGTCTCATAGAGAAGACCATGGAGAAGCAAGTATGAGCAAAGGTTTTAAAATCTGGCTTCCCTAAAGTCTGAAATTCTGTGATTCGGGACAAATCAAAGAAGACATAGTTTAAGGAAGTCAAAATTCCCATGTTACTTTTGCCATTGGTGTAATCAGGCTTGTTATAATGCTATTTCACTACCGGCAAGTAAAGAACACTTCTGTTTCTCCCAAGATGACTTGCCAACCATGAAATGTAGCAGGTCTGGTAAAAGAGGCCGTACATACCCCGGGTCTGTGCTCCTTTGACTGTAGAACCCTGCAAATATCTCCTCTTGCCCTCAAGTCTTTGAAGACTTACATGATACAACTTCACCCAATACCATCTGACTAACTACTACATTCAAACACTGTGCTAACGTAGACGACACAGTCCCTGCATCTCAGCTACTCACAAGCCTAATATTAGAATTTAAATGTATGCACAAATAACCACAATACAAGGCAGCATGCATTGTCAGAGGAGTGACAGAGACAAAAGATACTACAGGAATTCCGAAGAGGGAGAAATAACTTCTGGCTGGGATCATCAGGAATGGATCTGGATTTTGAAGGCTGATTGGGAGGTCGACAGTCAGAGGTGGGTCTGAGGATGGGAACAGCCTAAGCAAAGGAATGGAGGCAGGAGGGAATGGCCTAGGATTTGGGGGGATGGCAAGTAATCCTGTTTGGCTTCCTCACGGGATTTGTGGAAGGGCAAGAAGATAAGAGGAAGGTCAGACTGGGAAGCTGCCCTGCCCCCATGCAGACTTTAGACTTTTACCTGTAAGCAATGGGGAGTCATCAAAGGTTTTTGAGCATGGGAATGACATGATGCACATGGCTTCTAGGAAGAAAGGATAAACTAGTAAGGAAAGTGAACCAGAGGCAGGAAGCTCAGTTAGGAAACCCAATCCTTTGAAAGGAGCAGGTGGGAAAGAGTTTGTGAAGAAAGAATCAATACAACTTGGTGAATGACTAGATTTGGGGGGGGGGGAGGACCTAGATAAAGAAGAGAGACATACAAATGGGGTCAGAAAGAGATGGTCTGAGGGAGAAAAATGATGGGTTGTTTGAAATATGTGGATTATAGATGAACAAGTGGAAACCCAGGTGAAAATGACTACACAGCAGCTGGGAACTGGACGAAATGAAAGCAGAGATGTGCATGGACAGCAATAGGAGTAGAGGAGATTTCCAAGGAAGAGAAAGTAGAGAGAATAAGGGAGGGTTGAGGACAGAATCTTCAGGGCTATCTAAATTGAGGGATGGAAAAAGGAATGAGTAGAGACAGAAAAAGAATGATCAGAGAAGCAGGAGAATCCTGTGCCAGGGAATAGTTCACTTCCAGAAGAAGAGGGTGGGTAACAGTGTCAGATGCCACAGAGAGCTATTGGGGGATGAGGATGGAGAAAATGCCACTGTTTTTGTCCTTCCTTGGACTAGCCCCTCCATGTCATACCTCTGATGTGTTCAGCAGAACTACATGCAGCATTCCGAGTACACACAACAAAGCACAAAACCAGGACCCTGTTAAACTTGGTAAAAGAAGTCAATTAGGTAGAACTGAGATTTAACTTACATTCGCTTATTACATTTTTGCTTATGCTCCATTTTCCCCTTTACTGATACAACAGCTTTTAAAAAGAAGGGGGAGGATACTGGAGAATACATGTAACTTTAGGGAGGTCCACACAGAGAGGGCAATTACCCACCACACTGGCCTAATACAAGTTTTGTTCTGTCCCTGTCCAGACACAAAATCCTATGATTAGGAGTGTTATTGTCATTGTAACAATTCACATTTGCATAGCATTTTAAGGAACATTCTTATGTTCACAGTAATTAACAAATGAGAAAGTCAAGAAAGAGATTCTTCTACATCCAACTGCAGGGCTGGGATGGAAGGCGAGGGTGGGTCGGTGGGTGGGGGGTTCTTACCCAACGAGGCCACATTCCCATAATTCTCCAGCATCACGTCCCTGTAGAGCCTCCTCTGAGCAGGGTCCAGAAGCCCCCATTCCTCCTTTGAGAGATACACAGCCACATCCTCAAATGTCACCAACTCCTAAAAGAACAGGTTCCTGCTGCCCCAGGGACAATCTCAGAAGTCTGCTCCAGGATGAGGTACACGGGCAGCAAGGGTGAGGTTTAGCAGCTCATGGTATGTGCAGAAGTGGATGTTAGAATGGAGGGAAGAGGCACACAGAGCATGGCACAGGAGAAAGAGCAGCCAATTAGCAACCAGGAGAGCCTGGGTTCCATTTCTGGCCCTCCCACTAACTGATCAGGATACCGCAGCCAAATCACAACCTTTCCACAATTCACTTTCCCCACCTCTGAAATGGAAAGAGTACCAGCCCATGTCCATCCCTCAGGAGGAAGAGCCCAGGCTCCTAGGGCAGGAAGCCGGGGCTCAAGCCCCTGGGTGGCACAGTGCTGGGGAGAGATGCGGACAGACGAAGCCAAGCCAACACTCGGGTAGCAGCAACAGAATCTTGGGAAGGACGGAGGGAACCAGAGCTCACCTGAGGCCTGGCTGTCAGGAGAGCAGCTGCCATCACCTGGTCTCCTGTGTGCCCCTTGCGGGGAAGGGGAAGGACCTACAGAGCAGATGGAGCTAAGGAAGGTGAAAAGAGCCATGAGTGAGATCAACCTTGGCCTTGGTCTCTCTGGCTACAAAGTGACAAAACCACATTAAAGCCTACTTTTCAAACTGAGTGTTTGCTTTAAATTAGTTTTAAATTCTAAAAAAACTGTTTTAGGGGCAGCTAGGTGGCGCAGTGGATAGAGCACAGCCCTGAAGTCAGGAGGACCTGAGTTCAAATCTAACCTCAGACCAAACACTTGACACTTACTAGCTGTGTGACCCTGGGCAAGTCACTTAACCCCAATTGCCTAAAAACGAAAAACAAAAAAAATTAAAAAACTGTCTTAAAAGAGTCAAGTTCCTTTGGATGATAGCTGTAAACTACAAAGGAACCATAGCAGAATTGTAGTCTAATCCTCCCCAGTTTACAGATGAGCAAACTGAAGCCCAAGAGGGCTCAACTGCTGCATGGTGTGGTATGGAAAAAAATCCTCGGCTCCAGGCCAGGGACAAAATCTCAGCCTCAGTGTCCTTATCCTTAAAATGGCAATAACAATACACAACGGTGTAGTAAGGAAGGCAATTTAGAAAGTGCAAAGCTCTCTAGAAATGTTCTTAGGTGATGTGAGTGCCCCAGGTGACACAGCATTAGTGGCAGACCCAAGAATAAAACGTAAATCTCCTAACTCCTCAGCAAATATTCTTTCTACGTCAACTTTGCTGGCAGCCAATACCTTCTTTTAAGCAAGGGCCAGCTCTAGTGAAGGAGAGCACTGGTTGCTCTCTAGCAGGTTCAAGTGATAGGAAGAACGGGTCACCAAGGGCACCTTCCACATCTGCTAAGAACAGCTGGGGCTAAAGAGGGTCCAGAAGCTACCAACAGTGCTGCCCCCTGCACTGGCAGGGAGGAAGACACCGTTTCCCAACCTAAGCTATACTACAGACCTAGAAAACACTTAGGCCCATGCTACGTCTGCCTACTCCGGGCCTCTACAAACTCATGCCAACACCTCTCAGACACTCCGAGGATGAAGGCTGGCAGTCCGGGAAGACTTGTGCAGGTTTGGGGAAGTTTGAACAACACTCACTGAGGGGTTCCGAGGCATGGAAGGTCTACCTCTTGCTCTAGAATCATGGCACTGGGGATCAGGTGCTTATCATTTTTGCACAGCGCAGGCACAGCACGCATCAACTATTATCCTGCAACTATCCAGAGACCTATCAGGTGCCACATGTTACTTCCTCACCAACCCCTGTCTGACATCATTTAACACAAATGCCCAAACTCTGGATCCCTGAAGGACAAGAAGAATAAACCTAATGACTTTCTTCAGTAACTCCTGGTACTTTATTCCTGGTCCTCTGCATTCTAATCAGCCCTCCCTGGGATTATGAATGCTTTCAAAAATGAAACAGTCAGATTATACACCAACTACAACTACGGATCAGAAAAAAGGCAACAAAACTCCAAAAGTCAAATATGCAGAAGACAGCAAAAGGGAACACAGATGGAAATAAACCATCACACCCCACAGGACGGCAGAGCTGGAAGGCACTTCGTGTCATAGACGGGGGATCTGCAACCCAGACAGCTTTATGGGACTGTGCCAGGGTCACCCAGATGATTCCTGGAAGAATTCGAACTTACGCCCAGGCCTCAGGAGCCCGGGGCTCCTGGGCCTCAGTTCTTGTCCTATGCCCTATAGTTTCCTCTCAATATTTTCTCTAATTTGAAGTTTTACAAACAGGGCATTTTGGTTATTATATTGTGAAAATTAATATGAACATCTTAAATTAATTATAATTTGGACTCATGGTTTTATGTAAGTAATTATATAAAAGCAAATATATATTCTTATACAGAAAATATATATATTATATAATGCATAATTACATATAAAAATATATAAAATTATGATTTGAATGGTAACTACATTGAGAATGAAAATTTTTGAAAAAAATTTGTAATACAATGAAACCAGTTTTAGGCTTATGTATTGAGACAAACTAGGTTGTAAAATAAATACTAGGGGCCGCTAGGTGGTGCAGTGGGTAGAGCTCCAGAATTGGAGTCAGGAGGACCTGAGTTCAAATCCAACCTCAGACAGTTGACACTTACTAGCTGTGTGACCCTGGGCAAGTCACTTAATCCCAATTGCCTCACCAAAAAAATAAAAAATAAAATAAAATAAATACTAATGGAAAAGTCTCCTTAGAAATACTGCCCTTTTCAGGGTCAGAGAAACAAGAATTTGGTTACTATCATGCTAAAGTCAATATTAACACGTTTGAGTGTTTTTGTTTTCTTACAATTGTAAGTAATAGTTTATGAACACCGAAAATCATTTCTAATTGTTTTTGGTTTGGTCTGTTTACTTATCTCCTTTTGGTCCTGTTGATTTATATGAATGTTTGTTACTTGGTCAGTGGAAATTGAAAAAAACTAGTTGGAATGAGAAGACTGGTAAACTAATACACCATCCATGTAGCTATAAATTGGTTCAACTCTTCTCGAAAATAATTTGGAATTAGGCAAGAACATTTATTAAATTAATCACACATAGCCTCTGACCCCACTACTGGGGATACACCCCAAGGGAGGTTACTGTGAGCAAGTCCCATATATATGAGAATATTCACACAGGTTATGTGTCTATATTTTCCACAGCCTCTGGCACACTGATTTCCACCCAGATGGATGCTCCCACAGTTAGTACTTAATTAGGGTCAGTCAGAGAAGGCTGCTCCCAGCAGGTGTTCTTACCCTTTTTTATGTCACAGCCCCCTCTGGACCCCTTGTCCATATGATGTTTTTAAATGCACAAAATACAAAGTATTGAGAGCTTTGGTTTTTCTTTTCTTTTTAAAAAATATGCTCAAGGGAGGCTAGTGTGAAAGAAAATTAACTGAAAAAAAAACCTATTATTTGAAAAATAAACTTTTTAAAAAGAAAAAATCAATAAAATGCAGAGGATTACAAAAGAAATTAATATTAAAATAAAGATGCCATTTTCCTCCTACGCAAGTTGAAGGACCCTCTGAAATCTACTCCCAGACTCCTTGCAGGTCCATAGACGCCAGAATAAGAATCCTTTCACCACAGGGATGTAAGGAAGGTCAACCAAATTCAAGAGTCCCACGTATATACCCAAATATAGTTTCTGACACCAAGTAAAAAGTTGGCAGCACAGTGTGCCTTGAAGGCAGCAGCCCTGAGTTGTAATCCTCCTCTTCCTACCACATACATACTAACCATGTAACCTTAGACAAGCCACTTGGCTTAACTGGGCATCAATTTCCTCATCCTTAAAATACAAAGTATACATACGGACTGAACCAAAGCACATCCTCTTCTTCTAACATGAAGATGCTCTGCTCTAAGAGGAGGGAAATAGACAAAGAAACACCATGAATTAGAGCCAAGGAAGAGGATTAGGCTCCCGAAAGAATAGTGATAAAAGTAGACTTGCTCTATAAAGGAGTCATTCAAAGCACCGCTTTAACTTAATGTTTGGTAAGGTCATTCAGCTGTTTTAATGAAATCTATGACTAAAACCTATGCTGAAAATAAGAAAAAGACAAGAGAGTTGCAGTTTGCCTACTGATTTGTTTCACTGGAACAGAGATTTGTGCTGGACATGAGAGTCAGAAAGACTAGAGTTCAAATCTGGCCTCAGACACTTAGCTGTGTGACCCTGGGCAAGCTGAGTGACCTCTCAGCTTCATTACTCAGCTGTAAAACGGGGATGAGAGTAGCACCTACCTCCCAGGGTTGCTGTCAGGATGAAGTGAGATGATAATTGTAAAGTACTTTGCAAACCTTAAATCGCTAGATAAATGCTAGCTATTATTACTATTATTAGATCCAAGCATGTTCAAAACACCTGCGAGTTACTAGGATAAGATTCTAATTTTGATGACCCTCCGATATTTATAATTAGCCCAATTATGTTCAAAATAGGTCTAACTTTTTTGTTTGACCTGTGTGAAAAAATTCCAAGGACAAAGGACCGTCTGGGGGCTATGTGTGATTACTTCTGGTCACTTCTACTCCTACTACCAAGATTCCAGCATCCTCTCTGGCCTATGTTTTGCAGTATGTCTTTACCTCTTTATCTGCTGTAACTGTACCAGTTCAGTTTGAGTCAAGAGTCACATCACATTCAGCCAGCTGCTTTTAGTACAAGGAACTGCACTTTACGGCAGGATGAGGAAACTCAGGCTACAAACAGGTGCTATATACAGGTAGGCAAATTACATGAATATGGGGTTTGTTACAGAGTCCAACATTGTCCAGTTCAGAAATCTCATTAATTCCATAGTCTGGTATCCTGAGCTCATCACTTCCCAACTCAGGTTTTTATTTTGTCATGATTTTGGAGAAGTCTGATTTGCTAGTGGCTACTTTAAATCCCTCTTTTAGCTAACCTGAATAGAAAGGAAGCAAGTAGCTTTCCAGTGCCTCTAGTTCCAGCTAACTCTTTCTACTTGAAAATAATTCTCCTAAATCTCCTAGCTGAAAGTCTTTAATGGTCCTCAGCCCTATACAATTCTACTTAGTCTACTTCAAAAAGGGAGGATTAGGGGTGGGAGAGAAACGGGGGAGAGGCCTATCATGTCACTGCAGGATAAAAATGATCAACTCATTAAGTGTCCCAACTCTAGTCAGGCATCATTCCTGGCCCTTCACAATTTGGCCCCAACCAAGCTCTCCACACAAACTCTCAGCTCTAATCAAGCTCGTTTTCTTCCGGTCTCCATTTTGGCCTTTGCTCATATCATCCTCTCCCCTCTGCTTAAATCAATGTTTCCTCTTCTTCATTGGGATCATAAAACCTCACCTTCTCTGCGAAAGCTTCTCCAAAGTTAATTTCTCCAACTTCTCAACACCTCCAGCATGTGTCTACACTAACAATCATTCACAGCCTTATATGGTTACTCAAACTTGTTCATCTCCCTAACTATATAGTAAATTTGTTGAAGAAGGGAACTGTGCTGTCTATGTACATACCCCCAGATGCTAATACAGTGGTCTGCATCAAGTGGCTGTGCAGTAAATGTTTGCTGATTGGTTGAGAAGTGCCTCAGAAAAGGGAGCTTAACAGCATGTGGCTCTTAGGGCAGGATCTTTACCTTTTCTGTGTCATGGATCTGCTGGGCACTCTGGTGAAGCCTAGACAGGATTACAAAGGAAACCAGTTACTAAAACTTTTTTTTTTCCATTTAAAATTTTTTTTTTCAAATTAATTATTTTAACATTCTTTTCCTTTTCCAATTCTGAGTTCCTAATTTTCTCCTTCCCTTCCCCCTTTTTTGCCTAAGAAACATATCAATTATACATGTGAAACCATGTAAAAAAGATTTCCATATTAGCCATTTTGCAAAACCAAACCAAACCAAAAAAAAAAAAAAAAGTTTAAAAAAGTATGCTTTGATCTGCATTCAGACTCCTTCAATTCTTTCTTTGAAGGTGAATAGCATTTTTCATCATTAAGTCCTTCAGAATTATCTTGGATCACTGTATTGCAGAGAATAGCTTAAATCATTCACAGTTGATCGTTGTCCAATATTGAGGTTACTGGGCACAATGGCCTCTTGGTTCTGCTCATTTCACTTTGCATCAGTTCCTATAAGTCTTTCCGAGTTTTTCTGAAACCCTTTTCATCAATTTTTTTTTTGTTCCTCATTTCTGACAACACAACAGTAATTCCATCACGATCTTACAGCACAACTTGTTCAGCCATCCCCCCAATTTCCAATCCTTGGCTACCACAAAAAGAGCTGTTACCAATATTTTCGTACTCGGAGGTCCTTTTCCTTTTTGCTTTTTCTCTCGCGGGGATACAGCCCTAGAACTGGTATTGTGCAGTTTTAGCGCCCTAACAGTTGTTTTGTTTTGTTTTAAATTTTGGATCCCTGATATAAAGTGAGAGCAAAAGTTCAAGGCCACGACTTTCATTTGGACCCTGGGCCAAGTAGCTCAAAGTGTGAGCCCCGATTTGCCCCGCAGTCCCCCGGCTTGCCAGCTTCGCGGGCTGCACAACTTGCAGAGAAGGCGCGCGCACCATCCCCGGGACTTTAAAAAGCACCTCGAGGCTTCGGCTTTTCGCTTCTCCCCGTCCCCCCCCTCCTTTTTTTGTGTTTGGCGCCAATTTCTTTCTTCTGCTCCCCCTTCGACCCAACTGGGACGACAGAACCGAGCCGGGTTTCTCGGGTGCAAGTCCCTCCCGGGCACTCCCGAGAACTTTGGCGCCTCGGACTCTTTCAAGCACCCTCGGGCGCGCTCCGAGGGACGGCTCCGGGCCCCGAGGGCGCGCTCGGCACGCGCGGCTCACGAGGCGGAGGCGGCCCGGGGCAGCACGGCCCAAGCCGGGGTGAAAGCCCCGGAGGCGGGGCGCCGGGATTCGGGCTACGGGCCCGGCCCCGGAACAAAGAGGGAGCTTCCCCGGGGAGCCCAAGGCAGGGGAGGGGGGAGGGGAGCCGCGGGCCGGCCCCTGTCCTGCTCCGGCCCAGGCCCACACTCACCAGAAGCCGGGGAAGCGGCTGGCCGTCCGGCTGGAAGCGAAGAGCGCGACCCGGGACGAGAGCGAGCCAGAACGGCGGCGCGAAGAACTCTTCCGGGGCTCCCCTAGGAAACTGCGGAGCTCGGACCTTGTCGGTATCCGGCTGGAGGCGTGGGCGGAGGCGTGGGCGGGGGCCGGGGGCCGAGCTAGCAGGAAAGGCAGAGGGGAGGGGGGGAGAGAGGAAGGAGGG